GAGAGGCCTCATATATACTATATATATTAACAAACACCATTATTTCGTTTTAGCAAGATTTGGTACAAGGTCAATGGAAAACACAAAGATAAAGTGATATCTAAGAATGATTGTTAGCAAATCTTGTTCTGACTTTAATCATTCTATCTGCAGATGAACAGCATGTCATGAAAACCTAGGTCATTAAAGGATGTCATGAATTACTTGCTTAAACATAAAAGTATTAGTTCCGCCACAGAATGAAAAAAAAAATACAAAGTAAACATTAAAACAACCAAAAATGATGATAGATATTGTTATGACAATGACAATCAAATACCGTGAACAATTTAGGATTTAAAACACTGGGACAATTTTAATTCAGCCTGCAAGGCATTCCAAGCAAACAGGGCAGAAAAACTAAAAGCTTCCTTTCTCTTCTCAGTTCGCACACAAGGAACACAGAGGTGGGAATGATCCTTGGAGCGCAGGGCATAACTGCTATCTGGATGAACCTGGTGTAAAAGTCTCTAACGGGTCTGCTTCCAAATTATCTATGCACTTTTATTCAGAGAACAGTGTGTATATTGTCTGACATGCAGTGAGGACATGCCAGCTTTTGCATACAGATCACAATGATGCGTGAGTTGGCTGCACCCAGTGATGAACCTCAGTGCACAATGATGGTATCAAGGATTGTAGACAGCTATTTGAAGCACACATACAAACAACAGCACCATAATCAAGTATAGGCAAAAACGTGGCTGTGATCAGAAGTTTCCGAGCTCTTAGAGAGAAACAACATTTGTTTAGTAGAACCCAAGCCTCACCCTTAATTTGGAGATAAGCTGTTTCACATAAAGTGTAAAAGAAAGCTCTTCATCAATAATTAAGCCCAAGTACTTATAACTAAAGACGCTCTCAAGAACTGTACCTTGGGCAGTTTTTATTAGCGGGGTATTCTCTGGTAGCACAGATGTATTTGATAAAAGCTTTATCTTAGATTTTTTTTCATTTAAAACCAACTTTAGTTGCGCAAGACGAAACTGCACTTCATCAACAGCAGCCTGTGGAAATTTAGTTGCCTGAACAAGTGAATTAGAACAACAGTAGATTACACAATCATCAGCATAAAAAAATAATAAAAGGCATTTTTCAAATTTTTACACATTGCATTGTGAACAAAATAGGCCCTAAAACAGAGCCATGGGGTATGCCTGTTTAAACCATACAAAAGCTGGAACATGCTCCTCCAGCCATCTGTACACATTGAGTCCTATTTACCAAATAATCGGCAAACCAACAAGATGCTTCTTTAGGGATGCCTGTCTTTGGAAGAATACTTAACAACAAGGGCGTAATCACCATCTTAAAGGGATCCCCGATTAGTTGTAACATTAGACTTTATTTAATAAACATAAATTTTAACTGTAAAATAAAAACTGTAAAAATACTGTAGGCTGTTTAGTTTTTATAATTTTTAAACGAGAAGTTTAAAATATAGTACACGGACTGGGCCATTTTATTTACATGCAAAGCATTCTGGGTAAATGATGATGTCAATTAGGTCATTGGTGCGATGCTGCTAGTGAGCAATAGCCACCCTGAATGTTAATCTTGGACAATATCTGACAGTTGGCTCTTTTAAATGAAACCAGAGAGCGTTGACAGAGAGGAGAAGGTGGAATTTATTATTCATTCATTATTCAATTTATTCATTTAGTAGAATGCTTAAAAGTGTTTAATGAGATATGAACCAAGTTTTGGTTAAAATTTGTATTTTTGTTGTGAAGTTGTTTGTTTGAAATTATATCGTGTATTAAGTTGAGTTTTATTTTTTGTATGTTGTACGTTTTTTAGATACATATATTCTTTTTATTGGGGCAGATGT